CATCACTGCGCATCTGCCCTCACGGAGCTGGGGCTGTTCAGAGATGCTCAGGGAGCCCCGAGGAGGACCCACAGGGCTAGCAGCCGGGCAGCTCTGCATGGCATGGGGCACTCGGTCCTCCCTGACGCCCAGCTCTGCTCTGCTCTCCCCGCAGCTCCCCGGACGCACTACCTGGCCGACAGCGGTGAGTGTGTGAGCCTGCAGCCCTCCGTGCCTGGTCCCCTGCGGCTGTGGGGTCCAGAGCCTGAGCTGGAGGAGATGCTGGGACCAGGGAGGGAAGAAGGGGAGAGAAGAAGGAACCCTTGAAAGGCTGGGCCAGGGCAGAGCTGGGAGAGGACGAGTCAGAGAAACTGAGAGAGGAGATTGTGTTGTGCTGAAGGGTGAGGCGGGAGGGCTGCCGCGGGAAGGGGATTTTAGGGAGAGGAATATCAGCACGGGAGGAAGCCAGGCTGGAAATGAGTTGGAGCTGGAAGGAGACAGAGCTGGGTGAATGTGGAGCTGGGTAGCGATGTGGGAGCACAGGGGTAGGGTGGCCCAGCGGGTGCTTTCCTAGGGTGTAGGGCTCACCCCTGCATTTTCCCTTATGCACCTTGGTGGCTTCTTTGCAGATCCCCTTATTTCTAAGTCAGCCTCCCTTCCTGCCTACAGGAGGAACGGGCTGCACAGGGTAAGTGCCTCCTGCCTGCATCCTGCTGCTGCCAGGCATCTCGGCACCCGGTGTCATTCTCTCCAGGCTCCTCAAAGCTCCTGGTGCTCCACTTTCATGACTAGGGTGTCCTGCTCCCCCCTTCTCTGCACCCCTGCTGTCACTGCTGGTCTGTGCCAATCCAAAATGATACTGGGGACCAAAGTGCCCTGTCCAGGCACTGCAGGGCAGAGGTGCCTGCCCTGAACATCTTGCAGGGCACATTTCAGAGGGACACTGGTGTTGCTTCCCAGGACAAGAGCTTTGCTTTATACCCTGGGGCAGCAATTGCTGGGCGTTGGGAGACCTGGTCCTGCCTCCATGTGACCTGGGCTTGTCACTTCACCACCTCGTTCCTCAGTTTCTCCACTGCCAGGCGTGGGGAGTGGGACCTTCTTTGGGGTTGGTGGGTGCCTTCCCCCGCTGGGCACATGGGAGGTGCCATGCTGAGCGTCTGGAGGGGACCTCCTCTTAATCCTTCTTTCCTGTATCCCTCCCGCAGCCTCCCAGTGCTGAGCTTTTCCACTACGACAGCACGAATGCCGTCAACTGGGGGATGCGAGGTAAGGCACCATGGGGCTGGGGAGCAGCGTGGGCAGGGGACACTGTAGGCACAGATCCAGATGCCATGGTGCTGCCTACCTCACCGCAGGCAGCTCTGGAAAATGAGGTCCAGGCTGGAGGGAGTAGGGGGGAGACAGGCGGGGGTCCCCACAGCCTCAGGGGGAGGATCCTGGCGGCAGAGGGGTCAGCGTGGCTCATGTCTCTCTTGTCTTTTCTCTCTCACCACAGAGTACAAGGTAAGATGCTCCCGCTCCAAGGAGCCGCTACCAGCCAGAGGTGGAACTACCACCCGGAGGGAGTCCCAGAGACATGACCGTGTGTCCCCAGGCTCTTCAGGAGGAAGCTTTGCCCTCTGCCCACAATGCCCTACCTTCATCCCCCTCCATCCCCCACCTGACAGCCCCATCCTGGGACTGTAGGGCTCAGACCAGAGTCCTTCCGCTCCTGCCAGGGTCCCAAGCACTTGGCTGAGCAGAAGTGTCTCCTGGGTGAGGAACAGAGAAGGGTGGTTGTGCTGGTGGTTCCCTACTCACACTCATCCCTGGGTCACTCCTGGTTTCACAGAGTGAGCAGGCTATTCCAGAGCCACCAAGGTGATTCAAGGTGGATTAGGGTCACCCTGAGAGTAAGTCCCCCCTCCACCTTGTCTCGTCCAAGCCCTGGAGGCAGCTGTGCCACCCAAACCCTGCTAAACATGGCAGGAGGAGGCTTTGCCCTCGTGGCCCCCACGGCCTCATGCCCAGGCGTGCCCCAACTGTCCTCTTCTGGCTCCGGAGCTACCCCATGGTCTTCCTGTCCCTGTGCAGATATACCCCTACGAGCTGCTCCTGGTGAAGACAAGGGGGAGGAACCAGCTGCCCAAAGATGTGGACAGGACTCGGTTAGAGGTGAGGAAAGCCTTTTCCACTGAGGACAATCTCCTTGGGGCTCAGAGGGACCCGATTCCACGGGGTGTCCCCTTAGCCCAGGCAGGCGGCATGAAGCTGTGAGGAGCTCAGGGATGCGTGAGGAGCATCTCCACAGCTCCCCAGGAGCGCACGCGTGCCAGCACGCTGTCACAGTGGTCCTGCTGCTCCACTGGCTGGGCAGAGCTGTTCCCCATGCCCACAGCATGAGTGCTTTTGGCAGGAGCAGGAGGGAGCCAGGTGCTCCCCCTCTCCCGAGTGAGCACTGCTGGGGGTTGTAGCACCCCATTGCACCCAGATGGGCAGGGAATGCCATCAGACCCCCTCACATGCCCTCCCGCCCTGCTGCAGCCATATGGCCCCATATGGTTGCAGCCATACGGCCACATGTGGTGGCTGTTGGCCCTGGGTGGTGGCTGCGGTCCCCAGCCCTGGCCCAGCATCCCGTCTCTCCCCAGCGCCACCTCTCCCAGGAGGAGTTCTACCAGATCTTCGGCATGACCATCGCCGAGTTCGACCGCCTGGCCCTGTGGAAGAGGAACGAGCTGAAGAAGCAGGCCCGGCTGTTTTAAATGCAGTGCACTATAAATATATACATACCTATAAATATATACATAGAAAGATCTCTATATTGCAGCTCTGTATGATTCTCAGTGCTGTACGTGGCAGAGGCGCCCTCTGCACCCCTGAGAGTGAATTGGAGTCTCACAGATCATTTTATGCTCTTTGTTTCCTTTTCTTGTCCAACCCTGTTTCTGTATCGATCCTTGGGTTCTCCCAGGGGCTAAAGCCACGTGGGCCCTGAAGCACTTGGCATCTGTCATTGCTGCTCCACGGGGGCACAGGGGGGACGATTTTCCTGCTGCAGCCACGGCACCCAGGCCTGGGGGAGAGCGGGGCTCTGGGATGGGGGGGTGGGATGGGGGTGTCCCATCCCCCTCTGCGCAGCTGGTCTGTGTATTTACTTATGGGTTGCAAAAGGCCCTGGGTACAATTGCAGGAAAGCACGGTCTCACCATGGGCTCCTTAATGCCCTCCCTGCCTTTAACATGGCCACGCACTGGGGGCACCTTCAACCTCGCCCTCAGGATCAGAAATACAGAGCTTGAGGCAGGGGACAAGGAGGAGAAGTGGTGGGGATGCCACGGGGAGCAGGGTGCAGCCCCACGGGTCAAGGGGTGCAAGCCTGAGCCCCAATGCGTCCTGAGCTGTTGGCTTTCCCTGCAAACCCTGTATTGCTACAGAACCAGTTTTTCCTCCCAGAGTGCCGGTATGGCAGCTTTCTAGGCCATCCCAAAACCAAGCCCTTCTTAAATGAAACAGCCAAAGCCGCCTCCTCCCTTGTGCAGTTTCTTGCTGCTCTTCAGGTTTTTCCAGGGCTGGCAAGGCCTGAGAGCAGGCAAGCTGCAATGCCACCCCATCCTGGGCCACCATGCATTGGGCCCAGAGGTGGTGTGAGCACCCAGCCCTGACACTCCGGGGTCTCGGCACCCACGTGAGCAGTGGTGGGAGCAGTCCGGCCCAGAGCTGGGGGTGCCAGTCCCACTAACTGCTGGAGCTTTTCATGGGGGTTTTCCTGAATTACCCCATCACTGATGCCTGAGTCCCAGATGAATGCCTCTGCAAGCCTCCAGGAATGAAGGCCATTACCAGGGCCATTCAGCATTCACTCCACTGCAAACTATTGGGATGGGGTTTTTTTGCCTTTGGTTATTTTTTCTTCAAACTAATAGGGTTATTTCCACACAAACATCTTTTCTGGTGTCTGTGGTGCTCTGGTTTCCTATTTGCTCATCTGGCACAATTTTCAGGCACACCGCAGGACTGAGCAGTCCCAAACAGTCCAGCAAGCCACAGGGCACCTCTGCAAGAGCTGGGTCAGCAGAGTTCCTCCGAGGGGACAGCAAGGGTCTCACCTTCACTGTGCCATGGGCCAGCTCTGCTTCTGCCTGTTCTGGTCCTCTTTGAAACCCTCCTGTCGTGGTGTCTCCCATGAGGTGGATCAAATGCCCTCCCTGCCATCAGCACCACCACCGCTGGGTGCTGACGCCACATAGCTTGTTGCCCAAAAAAAGCCATCATCGGGTTCCTGTGTGAGGCAGGAGAGACATGCAGGGCCCCTTGCAGGGGTCTGCCAGGGTGCAGGGTGCTTGGGGCAGGGGGTCTCCCGTCAGCAGCAGCCCCAGCTCCAGGAGCTTTGTGCTGGCATGGAAGGGGCTGGGGCCTGAGGTGGGGATGGCAATATTGCACTGGTAATTGCTTCTGTCTGCTTTAGTGCAGCAGTAAATGAACCAATTGTATTTATAATGATTTCACTCATATAATAACTACAGCTCCCTAAATCAAGCTCAACCGTTTGTGGCTGTAAGAAACTTCCATCTCCAGCAGCAGTTTCAGTGATAAAGCCTGGAGGATATTATTATTAATAATAATAACACAACAGTGGGAGTCTTTTAATTTTCAAAGCATTTTATGGACAATAACTAACAGTTCCCTGCAACTACCTGCATGGCAAAGATGGGGAAACCGAGGCAGGGCTCAGTGCTATCTCTCAGAGCCAAGGAAGCCTCTCCAGCCCATGCTGCTCA